CCCCAAAACCCCAAAACCCCAAAACCCCAAAACCCCGTTCGTTGATACTATTCTAGGAATAGATTGAAATATCTAAGATGTTTAGTTAAAATAATAATACTTGGTGTTATATAAGATAAGCTATGAACAGATCAGTTAAAATACTTTCCACTCTTTGCCTATCCTTTCAATCCTTACATTTGCTGGTGTTTATTGGTCTCAGATTTTTTCAAAGGTTATCTTTTGACTAAGATGGAACTGCTCATTTAGCTGGGATATGGGGATAATATATTGGTTCCAAGCGCTCTCTCGTCTTTTAATGAAATTAAGCGCTCTATCTCTTGCTAATCTATTAGATTTGACCGGAGATTATTCACTAGGAGGTGAACTGATTTATCTGTATCCAGATTAGTTAAGACTATTAGATCTGAAGGCGTTTTTCTTTCCTTTTGTGATAACTTTGTAATAGTCATCGTCATTAGTCCTCAAGAAAGGAATAGCATTCTTTTCGCATTGAGTTTCCTTCAGTTTATCCTCAATTTTGTATTTATTAGATTTATCTTCAATTAAGTAGAATGGTGTAGAATATGGAGCAGTCTAGGCAAATGCATTGCTTCTTGAAGTTTGAACGAAGCTATTATTTGATTTGTCACCACCACCGCCAGCAGTTGATGGTGCTTGGAAAGATCTCATAAATGGATTTGTAGAGTTGAGTCTTTTTCTTTGATTTGCCACTGATTGAGGTGGCGCAGTTTCTCTAAAGAAATCCTATTGTGTTGTATTGTTGTAAATAACGTGATAATTTCTCGGCTGATCAAAGTACTCCTTGAAGGTTTAGTGCATTCTATTGTTATTTTTACTCAACTTCACTTGGAAGTTCTTGATCCAAGCTAACTCACCGTACATATCTCTTTCTTTGTCAACCTTCGACCAGTCAGGCATTCTTGTTCCCTTGACCTCATTCATATCATATGGGTCCATCATTCTTTGTGGTCTTAGGGCTAATGTTGGATTTACTCTTGAGCTTTTATCAAAATATTACTAAGATTGGAGAAATTAGAAAAAGAAAGTCTTACTTTATAGTATGTGTGATTTTGAGTGTTGAATAGAGATGGACACACATGATGTCTATCATCCCAATTTGGATCTTAAAGTAATGTTCCGTCTTCAACATTTTTGCGACTCTTTGGGCTAGTGGACATTTGAGATTTTTTCCCTCTAAGGGGCATTCTAACTGGAGACCTACCTCCTAGTGAGGCCACAGGTGGTCTAAAATCATCCATGATTATCACTCTCTCTTTTGACATTTCACTTTTTATCTTTATAAAGCTTTAAATAAATTAAATTATTAATTCTTCTTTAAAATTTATTGTCTTTTTAACTTTAATTTTTATTTATCTTGATCCTCTGGGGTTTTGGGGTTTTGGGGAGATCGGAAGAGCGTCGT